ACGGAGCCAGCCGTGTGGCTGGGACAGCCGTTTTAAAGCAACTGAGGTTTTTTTTTCCTCTCGGTGATCGTTGGAGGCTTGTATTAGGCAGTGGAGCGGCTCCAATGCTTCTCTTTCGAGCGGATTGCTGGAGGTTGCCTCGGTGACAAACCCAAGGGTGATAACCCTGTGCTTGTCGTCAGGAACACAGCGCTGGGGCTGCAAAGCTCTCAGGAAGATCGCTGTTTCCCTCAGAGATTGCAGCAAGCACCATTTCAAGCCAGCAGAGAGTGTGTGACAGTTGATTTTGGCGCGAAAAGCAGCGAGTGCCATTTTGAAGCCAACTGTCGCTAACGGGGCTCTTTTACAGCATTTACCTTGAGGCTGCCTCTTTCTTCTTGGCTTCTAATGATGGCTTCCAGCACAGGAGATGGAGCAGTAATCTGTCCCCAGCCCTCTCCACCAGAGAGCCCTACTGCTGGCTCTTCATTAGCTCAGACTTCTAGGAGAAGGGTGGCAGCTGCCCCAGCTGCGGAGCTCCCTGCAAAGGCTCCCAAGAAAGCAAAAAAAGGGGGGAAAGGGCAGCTCAAGTCCTCATTGCACAAGACAGCTCCCAGCAAGCGCACACAGGATGGCAGAGAGAGCCCTCACCCATTCCAGGTGATCCCTATCTCTCCTGGTAGCCCTCCTCCTGTGGGTCTTTCTTCTGATTCAGGGGATTCCCTTTCTGAACCTGGTTCTCCTTCTCAGATAGGGGATGGCACAGGGTTTTTTGATTCTCCTCAAAGTGAGGATGACTCCTTAGAAGATGCAGGCCCTTCTCCCTTCTCCGGTGGCAGATCAGGCTTCCTCTCCCCCAGGATTTTTGGGTTTGAACCAACCCCTGATACTACCCCTGCTATTACCCCTGATGTAGCTGCCATTATCTCTGCCATTGAAAAGGGGATAGCTGCTGGCCTCAAATGTTAAGAGATCCTCTGGCCACAGTTCTAAATCTAAATCAGAGGGGTCTAAACCCAACAGTAAAAAGAAACACTCTTCTAGTAAGGATACTGCTGATCCTTCGACTTCTAGGTCTGCCATAGCAGGGGATGAGGATGAGCAGCCCCCCAGAGATTCTGATCTCTCTGAGGATGAAGATCTGGCCCCTGACCAACCAGCCTTTGTGGGGTTGTTCAAACCGGTTCTTTTCCTCTCCTTGCCGTTTAAGGCAAAGAAGATTGCTGGTTTTAAGCCTACCCCGGATCCTAAGCCTGTAGCCTCTGATACTGGGGATTCTGAGGATCTTCTTTTCCTAGAACCTACCGTTGAGAAGGAGGTGGTTCCTTCTCCTAGGAGTTTTATGAACGTGGTGCAAAGGCAATGGGCCTCTCCTGGCACCGGTCCTCTTCCTAATTCTCTTGATAAGTGCCTGTATAATGTAGGACCTGCCTTAGTCAAGGCTCTAGACCTTCCAGCCAACGACCTGCCTGTGGTAGCTCTGGCCTCTCCTAATGCAGCTGCCAGTGCTCCCGAGGATTCGCTTAAGCCTGAAGACAAGTGTTTAGAACAAACACTTGTCAAAGGTCACCAGGCCTCTGCCTGGGCTATTAGGGTTTCCACTTCTTCCTCATTTTTTAGCAGATCTGCTCTCCTTTGGCTAAAGCAACTTCAGAGCAGGATTCCAAATAAAGACGCTAGGACCCACAGGGATTTAAACAAATTAAAAGCAGCTCTCGAGTTTTCTGCAGGTGCTGCGCTTAACCCAGCTCGCTTTGCCTCCAAAGCCATTGTTTCTACGGTCACCTCTAGGCAATTACTGTGGCTAAAAAATTGGCAAGCCGATGCCAGACACAAGTGGCACCTGGCTTCATCTCGCTTTTCAGGGGGTAATCTGTTTAGGGCCCCTTTGGAACTCTTATTAGAGGAGTCAAAGTAAGATCCTCCAATCGACTTTCCACAAGGCAGACAATAGAAATTCCTCTACCTTCTATAGACGCCAGCCCTTTTGTGGGCAGGACGGGGGTTTCTCCAACTCCCGTCCGCAGCGTCAGTCACTCTCTAGGCAGGAATCCAACCAACAGCAGGATAGGTCCAATAGGACCTTCCAACGATATCCTCCTAGGAAATCCTTTAGAGGTGGCTTCAATCGATCCTACAGACGTCAGAAGTGGCTGTCTGGAGATCTTCCGATAGGAGGCTGACTGACGGTGTTTGCGGATCAATGGAAGGACATAACAACAGATGCTTGGGTCTTGCAGACCATCAGATGGGGTCTGACCCTGAAATTTCTCTCCATTCCCCCAAGGCATTTTGTCCCTTGCCCAGTGTCTCAGGACAGTCTCAAGAGACAGTTGGTGGAACAGGCCATTTGCCATCTTCTTCAGATCAGGGCCATCCAAGCTGTTCCCAAGGGCCAGGAACGTCTGGGATTTTACTCCCAGCTGTTTGTGGTTCCAAAGGCCTCGAGGGAATGGAGACCAATTCTGGATCTGAAAATCTTGAACCGATATGCCCTTTATCGACGGTTCAAGATGCACTCCCTGCAGTCCATCTTGGAGAGTGTCCGCAAGGGTGACTTCCTCTCCTCGGTGGACCTTACAGAGGTATATCTTCATATTCCCATCCTCCGCGAACAGAGGCAGTTCCTTTGATTGAAGTACAGGGGAAATCATTACCAGTACTGGGACCTCCCCTTCAGGCTGCCATTAGCCCCAAGGGTATTCACAAAAGTGCAAGCGGTGGTGGCTGCCCACCTCCGCTCAAGATTAGTCAGAATCCAGGTATATCTAGACGACATTCTGCTGCTTTCCCCCTCCATCAGGCAGAGTCACAGGGACATTCGAACTACCATTCAAGTCCTCCAAGAGCTAGGCTTCTCCATAAATCTGGCAAAAAGCTCTTTAAGCCCAGACACCCACATCCTTAATTTGGGAGTTCTAATAGACACTGTTCAGGGCAAAGTGTTCCTCTCAACAGATCGGCGGAACAGCCTGCAGGAGCTAGCCAAGACAATCCAGCGACATCGCAGAGCCCAACTTCTCCAGCATCTCACGCAGCCTCTTTCAGGAGATATCCCGCAGATATGGGGGACTGGTACTCAACCTCTTCACCTTGAGGGAAAACGCCCTTCTCCCATGGTACTTCACCAGGTATCCATCCACGCGGAGAGGGTGGATGCTTTGGGGTGCCCGTGGCCCCCGGGCCTTCTGAACGTGTTCCCTCCTCTGCCTCTAATACAGAGGGTGGTATGGAAAATGCTAGACGAGGAGGCGAAAATTCTCCTTCTGGCACCACATTGGGCCCGCCGGCCGTGGTTCAGGGACTTAATTACGTTATCTGTAACACCTCCGTGGTACATTCCGCTACACAGACTGTCCCTCTCACAAGGCTCAATCCAGCATCCAGATCCACATTGGTTACAACTAACCGTGTGGAGGTTGAGCGGCAGGCGCTGAGAGCAGATGGGCTGTTGGACAGTGTCATTCAAACCATTCAAGCCTCGCGCCGCCCTCCATGACTCGAATATACGACACAACCTGGATACCGTTTACCAAGTGGTGTTCTTCTGATCTTGTCTGCCTCACTGGTTAATGTGTTAGACTTTCTCCAACAGGGCCTCACCAAAGGTATTTCACCAAACACGTTAAGGCATCAGGTGGCGGCCCTCTCTACACTCTTGACTCTACCGACAGGTGAGCCCATCTCTCATCTGCCACATATACGTCAGTTTCTCTGTGGAGCGACCAATATTCATCCTCCAACTGTTCACAGATACCCAACCTGGGACTTAACCAAAGTTTTAGACTTTCTGACCAGGGCTCCGTTTGAGCCATTGCGGACCGTATCTCTTCAACATCTCACATTCAAGGTCTGTTTCCTGATCACAGTGACATCGGCAAGACGAATCTCCGAAATCGCAGTTCTGTCGATTAGAAGTGACCTTTGTATGTTTCATGCAGATAGGGTCGTTCTCCGTCTAGATCCGACATTTATGCCCAAAGTTAACTCAGCCTTTCATCAGGTTCAGGAACTGATTCTCCCTAATTTTTGTCCCAATCCTTCTCATGAGTTAGAAGAAAAGTGGCATTCCCTAGATGTTCGCAGGGCTTTACGTATCTATATCAAACTTTCAGCTACGTTCAGGCATTCTGAAGCCTTGCTAGTCTCTTTTCAGCCAACTTCCCTGGGTTCTAAAGTCTCCTCTTCCACCATAGGTCGCTGGCTTAGAGCCTGTATCACTAAAACTTACAGAGCCAATGATCTCGTTCCTCCACAGGGTATAACCGCTCATTCCACTCGTAGTGCAGCCATGTCAGCTGCCTGGGCTACTCAGGCATCAGTAGAGGAAATTTGGCCACTTGGACTTCTCCCATTCCCTTTATCCGTCATTACAAGATAGACCAGTTTGCTTCGGCTGAAGTGGCCTTTGGAAGGAGAGTTTTACAGCAAGTCCATTCTCTGGACTCCTCTTCCACGGGGACTGGATCCCTCCCTTAATTAGGAACTAGCTTGGGTATGTCCCTACGTGACTGCTGTCTCCACCAATCGTGGAGAATGGGCGTTGGTACTTACCTGATACGCTCATTCTCACTGCAGGTGGAGACAGCAGTGACCCCCACCCTGTTCCAGTCAATGTTCTCCTTCATTAGGATTAGGTCGGTCCTTTCTTTCCTTTTCTTGGTTTCCCTTTATTCTCCTCCATATCAACTACACGACAGTCTACATCATGTCTTCGTCTAAAAGCTGGGGAAGAGCAGCAAGGAGGAAGGCTTTATAATCTGTAGACAACCCTATTGGTTACTGGAGAATGAACCCTACATGACTGTTGTCTCCACCTGCAGTGAGAATGAGCGTATCAGGTAAGTACCAACACCCATTTCCCAATGCATTTCTCCTAAATGCTTGTTTAACGCTTTTATATCTTGATATACATTTTTTCTGCTATCTTAAGAGCCATGTATCTGAATATTCTAGTGACTTACAGTTTTATTTAACTTTAAATTCTAATTCTGAGCATTTTGAATCCTTCTGCACCTCAGGTATTCTAGAATGGCCATTTTGGACTAAGCTAGTAGTAGTAGCTATTGGTTTCACCGGTGGAATTCTTTTCATGTATGTTCAATGCAAAGTTTATGTACAACTGTGGAAAAGACTTAAAGCTTATAACCGTGTGATATATGTACAGAACTGCCCAGACATAAGCAAAAAAAGCAGATTAGAAAAACAAAATGCTGAATATTCAAGTATCTTCAGAAGCCATCATACAGAGACTACCAGTTCAAATTGCACAGAAACTGAAAATGTGAATGCTAACATTCTTCATATTTGACATGTTTTTTTCTTGAAGATTTGGATCAGCATTATTTACTATTTTCAGATATTTAACTTAAGACTGAGTTGGTAGAAATATTCTTCTTTTACCAGAGCATCAATCAGAAGATAAACCGAAGAAAGTCTGCTTGAATGATATATAAATGATGTTAATCATTATTTTCTCTCCATTTTAAAACAATTCAGTTTTGGTCAATCATTCTAAAATATGTCTTGGTTACATTAAGAAAGTGTCTTTTCTCTACTATATGAAACTATTAAATGAGATACAAAGGAGGAAATATGTTTTTACATAAACATACTATTATACATACCTCTATAGTGTACCAGGACCCCATTTACAAATCTTCATGTTGTAAATAGTATGTAGTTCTACTATTGCTATAAATAATTTGCCTACACTGTATTTGTGAACTGTATCACACTCAGGGTAGGGATGTCAAAACATGAAGCACTTTTAATTGTTTTTATATTATAACAAATTTGAAACAATCTCAGTTCAGTGTGTTCCTTTGAATTACTGAAAGCACATTAATATGTAGACCTGACCATTTGCCTTAAAACAACAAGGTTTGTACTAAAATTTTCCTCAAATGTTCTTATGTCTAATAATAAATACTTTCTTGACATTTTGTTTGTTTGCCCTTTTTTAAAAATACTGCAAACTTTGATTGTGGAACAGAAAATAATGATATAGATTAAATGTTATCAGTATTCTCTGTAATATTAGAATAAGTTAATTGATCTGATTTTAATAAAAAAGAATTTTAGTGCTGCACTTTTCTAGCATATTTTATATATGTATACATATCTTCAAGTCAGCCTTGACTGCTGGTGATTGCATTGGCAACCTTTTTGGAAGTGATTGCTCTTACCTCATTCCTCAAGGTAAAAGATTGCGTCTAGGCCAAAGTCATCAGCTGGTTTCTGGACCTGAAACAGGACTAAAATTCAAAGTCTTTATCACTACCTGGCTCTCTTTCTAGTATTTACACCTGCTTGTAATGTATTTGAAGTACAATGCTGATTGTATGCATTCTATCTGACATAGTTCCATCCGAGAATTTAAAGCAGGTTTAAGAAGAATTGGTAGATGTTATCAATTCTAATTAAATGTGTTGTAAAGTCCTGCCTCACCAGCCTTCTCAAGAAAACAGAACTCTTGAAATGAATGGCATTTCAAAAGGAACTTTTATTGGATGACAATGATAGTAGAGTGTAGACAAAATCTGAATTTTGTGCGCTGGAGCGTTAGGTTAAACAACGCCTTTTGAGGCCCCTCCCAATGTCCAGTTCATCTTTGAGCCAATTCCAAGGTGTGAAGATGTAAGAATTTCGGGTTGAGAAGATAGTAACAGGTGCCATAATCTAGCTCCTCCAGTGGTGAGACAAAACAGATTGCCCAAGGCACATTCTTTCCCCCCTCCCAACATCCTAAAGGTACATCAAAGCAGAGAACAGGAACAAAGGAAAATCCAATGCAAGTGTAGTCCGAATCCTCCCCCTCCCTCCAGAATGGCAAGGTCCCAATAGAGATCAATGGGACTTGGCAGTGCTTTAATTGTCTTGGAACGCCCAAAATGTTAATAATAAGAAATTGAAGTTTGATGGCTTTGTTTCTTTCTTTCTTGAATTTCTAGTTCACCCTATTCCAAAACTATTCTGAGCAGCTTCACAAGTTACAAAAAACAACACTGCATAAAAACAACCATCTGAGGGACACATTACATTAACCACCAATTATATCACTCTCAACTCTGAAGGCTTGGGGCTAGATTTTGGCAGGGGAATCTTTTAAGATTGCTTGAAGACAGACAAGGTGGAGACCATACAAATAATTAGTTAAGTAAATTAATTGGCTACTGTCTAATGTGGATAGTTAGCCTTTTTTGGCAAAAAGTGGACACACACACAAAACACATGAGTATCTTCTGCAAAATAGGTTTCAGATAGATTCTGGTCAGGAGAGGGTTCTGGCTGGCTTTACTGCCGGTTTGCTTGTGCGCGCGCTGGATGCGCACTGTGCACACATGCACAGTTCAATTAAAATTATTCAGCACAGAACTCAAAAACAAGATGGCAACTGCGGCGACCGGGGAACTGGTTCGGGGGCATGGCAGGCCTGGTTCCAGTGACCCAAGCTGCCATACCACTACTGGTTCGGCTGAACTGGTAGGAATACATCTCTGATTCTGGTCCACATTTGGTTTGATGGGACCAATTTAACCTATCCACAGTCCCTGTGGAAATTCAAATTAGCAGCTGCAGCTTAAACCTGCTTGGATTGCAATATGAATCAAAGAGAAGAACTTCCAATAGCATTTTTTCTTTCACTTTTAATGAGCAGGATAAACTTTGCTTCCATATCTTCTGCTGAAAATATAGATGATAGAAAAATTTACAAAGAGCATATATAAGTAGATAATCTGGTACTGCAACGTGAGATATGCTAACTGGTGATGAGAAACGGCAGCACTGCAACTTGTACTTAGTCTCAGTCTTTTTTCAATCATCTGTCAAAAATGGTGTAAGGTCTGCTTGGGTCGGGGGGTGGGGTTATACTAGATGATCTACAAGGTGCCTTCCAACTCTGTTAATCTGTGTTTGTAACTAATCTGTATCTTTTAGTGGATAAGATCTATGTTAGTTGTAATACCTTGATTTAGGACTAAAATTGAAATGGGAACGTCAGTTGCTAAGCAATGCTGTTGTTAAATGAGTCACTGTTTATTTACAACCTTTTCCCCACAATCATTAAGCAAATCAAGTGGTTACATGCCATTTACCAAGCACCTGATTTTTTTTCATGTGATCATGGGACACTTCAATGATCCTAATTGCAAGGACTAGGTCATAAATCACTTTTTTCATAACCATGGACAGTTGTTAATTGATCATAAGTTGAGGACTACATGCAACTTATACTAACGTTAATGAGTGACTTATCTATTTGTTTAGTAACACCACCAAAGTAAATAACCCATGATACAGAGGGCACCAGTCATAACTAGACATAATGGTTGGAATCTAATTCTATCAAGAAAAGGGTGACAGTCAACTGTATTATGCATAGTTAGCTTAACCCCAAACCTAGCCCTAATTCTAGATGGATTCAAATCAAAATTAAGTGAAGTGAGTAATTAACAGAACACTAGGATGTGCTGTATTTAGAAAACCATTTCTATTTTGTACATTGGTGGCGCCATGGTTAGAATGCAGTATTCTGCTGATTGCCAGGGGTTCGATCCTCACCGGTTCAATATTGACTCAGCCTTCCATTCTTCTGAGGTTGGTAAAATGAGACCCAGATTGTAGGGGGCATTATGCTGACTCTGCAAACCGTTTAGAGCGGGATGTAAAGCACTGCAAAGCAGTATTTAAGTCTAAGTGCTATTGCAATTGTGAAGTAAATAATAGTGTAATGAAGCTTTTCGTTTTTATGGCTCTGGAGGATGAAAAATGGCCCTATGTTTGCCCTCTGGAGCCTTCAGGGAAGCCTCCTGGAGTCTCTGGAGGTTGAAAATTGGCCCTACGGACAAACTGGAAGTCACCATTCCTGAACCTCCGGGTTCCCTGTAGGTCCATTTTTCGCCCTCTGGAAGAAAGCTTGTGGAGGGCGAAAAAACCGCACCAACAGTTTGGGGGGGTGCTGGTCATGTGCGCATAGTATTATGGGTGTGACACGCCCATGTATGACCCTCCTACGCTCCCCCCACTTTTGGCACGGGAGCCAAAAAAGGTTAGCCATCACTGATATAGGGTCTCCTGCTTGAACAGGGGGTTCAACTAAAAATACATCCGCGCAGGACCTGACAGGGCAACTCCTCGCGTTATCTAACATGGTGGCTCCATGTGCCACCAGTAGCATGCGTGCCATAGGTTCGCCATTACGGCCCTATACCATTGCGGACAAATGGCTGTCCGATCTCGTCTTAAAAACCTCCAGTGTTGGAGCATCAACAACTTCTGAAGGCATGCCATTCCATTGATCAATTTTTCTCATTGTCATGAACTTTTTCCTTAGTTCTAGGTTGGATCTCTCTTCGATAAATTTCCTACTGATACTTCTTGTCCAGTCCTCAGATGCTTTAGAGAAGAGGTTGACGCAATCCTCTCTGGGGCAACCCCTCAAAAATTGGAGGACTGCTATCATGTAACCCCTAGTCCTTCTCTTTGTTAGACTAGATACACCCAGTTCATGCAACCGTTTTATCTTGCAGTCCCCTAATCATCTTTGTTGTTCTTTTCTGCAATCTTTCTAGAATCTTAATATCTTTTTTTGTATTGTGACCAAAACTGGATGCAGTTAAGTAAGATGAGCTATATGATCTTGTGTTCCCCTGCTGTTTCTGAAGCCTGCTGTTCATGTGATATTCCCCTCTGTCTAGAGGAGAACCTGTGGAGCGCGGCCTACTAGTGGACCATGAGGGGCTGCAGAAACAGCTGGTAACGCACAGCCTCACTTGTACAAGCAGCAGGTGAGTATGCATACACACACTCCATTTAAGTGAGTGGCAGGTACACACGGTTTGCACAAATGGAGCTGTGAATGCGCTTGCTGGCTGCTCACGTGGAATCACCCCCTCTTCCCCTGCCGGTCCCTCCTAGTTTTGGGGCCATGGTAGGCTTTTCTGTGCTTGTTGCCATTGTATGGGGTTTTTTTTGTTTCCCCACTTATCTTTTAAAAATTTATGAGGATTTCATTCACACAAACACACACACAGATTTTTCATATTAAGTCAGTAGGTTTGCAAGCCATCTGTCTTCTCCCTCAAACGTTATTATTTGTTCCACATATTCTTTTGTTGAATACATATAGTCTCATCAAGTTTTTCTTTGCACAGATTTTTTTGTATGTTTCTGTAAGGTCCTGCCTCTACTCCCCATTCAAGAAAGTATGGACTCTTGAGACAGCAGTATTTCAAAGGGCACCTTTTATTGAAATGGAGCGATTGCAAGACAAAAACAAAGCAGGCTCTAAGGTTCCCTTGGGCCCGTGATGGCGAACCTATGGCGCATGTGTCTCCCACCGGCTAGCTGGTCGTTAGGTCTCTGCCGCACATGCGAGAATGCATGCGTGGGGGATGGTGCATGCATGAGGGTGCTCACATTGTATTTTGAGGCCTCGTGTGGCCCTTCATGCCCCGTTTTGGGCCTGGAAGTCCTCCTGCACCAAGCTGGAAGCCAAAATGGGGTGCAGGGGCGCTGCACAAGCCCTCCACACACACACCTTGTTTTAGGCCTGGAAAGCCTTCTGCACCAATCTGGAAGCCAAAAATGGGTGGGGGCAGTGCACATGTGGGGGGGAAGGGCGCACATGGGGTCATACATACATTGCATTATGGGTGTGGGTGCACATACACGCTTTTGGCATGCGATGACAAAATAGTTAGCCATCACTGCCTTAGGCAATTCTGTTAGGGTAAAGGAGTTAGAAACCCCTCCCCTCAGTCCAATGTTGAATGAGCCAATCCACAGGTATGAAGATGTGGAGAACTGGGAAGGAGATAAGGGACAGTTCCCAGGCGCTTCTTTCAGGAGGCTTCAGAACGGAGGCAAAACAGATGGCCCTCCCCCCTTTCACATTCCCCAAAGGTAAATCAAAGCACAGAGCAGATAGGTGTCAGAGCTAGA